AAACACACACACACACACACACACACACACACACACACACACACACACACACATGCGCGTGCACGCCTGGAGAAGGAGAAACTTCTGGGGCTTTCTGTGTATGTTACAGCTGTTCCCTTGCACTCGTGCTTTCAGCGGGGGTGGCAGGATGGTGGTGCGAGGGGAGAGAGCTTTAGCATTGGGGTCTTGGGGTCTGATGGAAGATGTCTCCCTCTTCCCTTCCCTGCTGGGGCCTGGGCGTGTGGGGCTGCAGGAGGGACCCTTTTGTTACCGTAATTACTCTGCTTAGAGTAATTACGGTAACAAAAGCATCCACTCTATCCACTCTCCCTTTCTCCTCCTTCCTTGCGCTGGCTGGGGCTGTTGAGGTTCCCAAGACTCAGGGGGGCTCAGATCCCCCTGAAGTGTCCCTCCCAGTTCGGTACCCCCACACTCACCCCCCGCCAGAGCCCAGGCTGACCCTCCTGCCCCAGCCGCATTCCCATCCTTCTGCGTGTCTTTCAGCACCGCGCTTTAGCCCTGCACTCTCTGTTCCTCCACCACCCCTGATCGGTCGCCATCTTCTCTCACCAGCCTCTCTCCGGGAGGCCCCTCGCAACGCTTGGATCCGACCCATGCTGCCTGCATCCCTCCCTCTCCTGGCCCGAAAGACCTTCAGCCACCTGTTGTCTCATTTGGTTGGGTCCTCTGTCCTCATTCCCTTTCACCGTGCACCGCCAGGGCTCAGCAGCAAAAGCACTGTTTACTTTGCTGGATCGAGTTTGTGCCACCACCCTGACTGCAGTGAGTTCTGGTAGGCTTTCCGGTGCTGCTCATGGATGTCCCAAGTGGCTGCGTGTGTGTGTGTGTGTGTGTGTGTGTGTGTGTGTGTGTGTGTGTGTGTGTGTGTGTAAGTAGGACACTGTGCCTTGCACTGGGCGGCTGTGATGTGATTCAACACTCGCTGTTGGTTTCAGTGCTTGGCTGGTTGCTAAGCACCATATCCAGGTCACACGCACCATCACAGGTGTGTTTGTTTCATGGCAACATGAAAGGGGGTTCGAGTAGCCCTCCTAGACTGATATCAGTTTCTGGTGCTCAGAGACTTGACCCCTGCGTGTCCAGCCTTGAAAATTTCATCCGTGTCGCAGAACCTCAGAGCCTTCCCTCGGGGCTGGGCCCAGACCTCTGGTTCCAAGACCCTTAGGTTTGCCATTCCCAAGGTCTAGTTTCTAGTTCCCACCCCACTGAGTTGGAGGACTGTCTCCAGGGCAGGTGGGAGCAGGGGTGGGCGGGGTGGGTATCTCGAGAACTGTCTTCTCACCGGATATTCTCATCTTCTACCATCAAGTGTGATTTTTGCCGTCAGTGTCTGCTGGACACCTTTTTCCAGTGATGAAATTTCCCTCAGTTTCCAACTTATTTAAAGTTTTTGACTGACTGGTGGCGGTGGCTTATGCCTATAGTCCCAACAATTTGGGAGGCTGAGGCGAGAGGATTGCTTAAGCCCTGAGGTTCAAGACTAGCCTGGGCAACATAGTGAGGCCTCGTCTCTATAAAAAAAAATTTAGCCAGCACAGGACAACTGAAGCCCAGGAGGTTGAGGCCACAGTGAGCCATGATTGTGCCACTGCATTCCAACCTGGGTGACAGAGTGAGACTCCGACTCAAAACTAAATAAATAAAGTTTTGGGGTGGAAAGGGTCTTGCATTTTCTCGAAAGCCTTCAAGATATGTGATTTCCCCCCTGTAGTCTGTTAGTGTGGTAAATAACATTGGTCGACACTTTCTCTGTGGCTTGTGTGTTTTCTGTCTTTTCCTGCATTCTGTGACAGTTTCTGAGGATTTGGTGGCACTCACCGCAGTGCTGCTCAGCCCAGTGTCTGCGTTACGACTTGGGCCTTTGCCACTCCAGGTCTTCTCTCACTTCTCGAATCAGTTTTGATAATTTATATTTTCTTGGGAAATCATCCATTCTGTTTGGATTTTAAAATCTATTAAAGGTAGACGTGGTAATTGCTCATTCATCTTTATTTCTGTGGTAAAGTGCGATTTCTAGTTTTGTGGGATTGCCTGCCTCAGTTTATGCATCTGCAGTGTGGGATAATAATAGAACCCCGTCACGGGTTATTCTGGGCGTTACGTGAGTGAATATTGGTCACATGCATGGGATGCACCTGACACATAGTAACTGCCCAGCCGGGGTCAGCTAGAAGTAGCTTTGTTCTTGATTAGATTTGTCAAGAAGGTCATTCTATTGATCTTTTTGGAAAAAAGATTTTGGCGTTGCGGGTCAAGGACCTTGTTAGTTTTCCCCGGTAGTTTGGTTCCTTCTCTCTTTTCCCTGGCTATGCAAGTTGTGAGTATAGTTCATGGAAGACAATTGGAAACGAAAAACAACAGCATTTATCATGGTTTGCCTATTGTGTTTCTGATAGATTGTGTGCTCTGGGAGTTAGAACTTTCTGTTTGTTTCCCTGGCATGGTGCCTTGACACTTAGTAGATGGAATAAACAAATACTTTCTCTCTTCTTTTCTGTTAATTCAGCTTCTAGTTTGAAAAATTGGACAGTACTGAAAGTGAATTCCCAATCCTTGAGCTTTTAGCCCAGAGATTCTCTCTCTCTCTCTTTTCTCCTTGAGTCAGGGTCTCACTCTGTTGCCCAGGCTGGAGTGCAGTGGCACGATCACAGCTCATTGCAGCCTTGACTCCCGGGCTTAAGCAATCCTCCCACTTCAGCCACCTGAGGGACTACAGGCACGGGCAACCATGTCTGGCTAATTTTTGTACAGCGGGGTTCTCGCTATGTTGTCCAGGCTGACCTTGAACTCCTGGGCTCAAATCCTCCTATCACAGCCTCCCAAAGTGCGTGAGCCGCTATGTCCAGACAATTCTCAAACTGGAGAGCTGTTGACAACAGATTGCGGTCCCCTCCCCCGCCAGAGCTTCAGACTCATTAGGTCTGGGGACTCATTAGGTCTGGGGCCCCAGGTGATGCTGACGCTGCTGCCCTGGGGACACGCTTTGAGCTGCTGGCCTCCCCTCTGTCCACTTCCCTCCTTGGCTTCCTGCTGACTTGGCATTCTCCTTCCCTGCCGGGAGTCATGGGGAGCTCTGAAAAATGCTGGAAACAGATCATTTACCCTCATGAGCTTAATTAGCTGAATAGTCCCACCGGTGGCTCCAGGGTGGAGACCCTGCCCGGTCTGTCCTCACACAGAGGCTCTGGCGTCACTGTGTGCCCTGGGAGGAGCCCCGGTGTTGATCTTGAGCCCCTGGCATCTGCCTGACATGCCAGGCAACAGCAGCCATCTGGGCGGTGCCTATGCTGGCATCGTGTTGGGGCAAAAATCCCCTAGCCTGGTCTGAATTGGAGCATGGCTGGGAGGGGTGAACAGAAGACCTGCCTCAGGGTGCTTTAATCTGTCCCTCTCGGGACTGGCCCGTAGGCAGCATCGCTGTGTGTCACGAGGCCACACGTGTTGGCTCAAGTCAGTTCCAGAAACACACCCATGACCCGCACGGGAGAAATCCCTTCTGTTAGGAGGGAGGTGCCCTTGGCAGGTTCTGTGTGCAGTGTAGACAGAGCCGTGTGTGTGGCAAGACTGCCTTTTAAGGTGGGGCTTCTCAGCTAGTATATACATGTGTGGGTTTATGCATTTGGTCAGTACAAATGTACCATGTGGAGGATTTGGGTTTGGATCTCTCTCTCTCTCTCTCTCTCTGAGTCGGGGATCTCACTTTGTCACCCAGGCTGAAATGCAGTGGCACGATCATGGCTCGACTTCCTGGGCTCAAGTGATTCTTCCATCTTAGCCTCCCGAGTAGCTGGGTCTAAAATTAGCACCACCACGTCTGGCTAATTTTTTTGTAGAGATGGGGTCTTGCTATGTTGCCCAGGCTGGTCTTGAATTCCTGAGCTCAGAGCGTCCTCTTGCCTCGGCCTCCCAAAGTACTGGGATTGATTACAGGCGGGAGCTGCCGCACCCAGCCCAGGCTTCTCTTTAATTGAAGACTCAAATAAAATAAAAATATGGGCCTGCTGTGCAGTGCTGTGACTCCTTTTGGAAGACAGATCTTTTGGGGTGTTTGCCAGAGGGAGCCATGTTAGAAGTCCCTTTCTGAGTGTGGGGAAGCTTTTGGTAGTGCAGACCCACACCTCGCAACTTTCCTAGGTCAGCGTGTGTCTAAAAGGCCGCTGGGTGTTTCTGGACGTCGATGCCTTCCCTGGTGTGAGGGTCATCTCTCAGGCGCGAGGCATGCCTCCGTCAGTCAACCTTCTTTGTTGGCCGTGAGTGCTGGGGACACGGGACGTGACGTAGGCCCAGAGATGCTTCATTCTGCCTCCTGGGAGCGCGTGGGCCCAGTGGCCGCCAGAGCGTTTGCCGTCTGGATGGCCACTGCTGACTCCTTCCTGCCACTTGCAGGGTGTCCTGGACCGGTTTTCCCAAATCCAGCCGAAGCTCATCTTCTCCGTGGAGGCCGTCGTCTACAATGGCAGAGAGCACAGCCACATGGAGAAGCTGCAGCAGGTGGTGAAAGGTGTGTGGCCTCCCAGCCCCAGCCGTTCTTGTGTGGGTGTACGTGTGTGTGTGTGTGTGTGTGTGTGTGTGTGTGTGTGTAGAGATAAGAGCCTCCCGGGAGTCACGGAGCTACAAGCAGCAAAAACCCTGGTTGCCCTCACTCTAGATCTTGTGGCTTTATGTAACAAAAACCCTAGACTCAGCAGCTACGCTGACTCTAAGAGTCTCTGTCCTGTGCGCTCGTGCTTTCTCCCCAGGACTGCCAGACTTGAAGAAAGTGGTGGTGATCCCGTACGTCACCTCCAGGGAAAAGATAGACATCTCGAAGATTCCAAACAGGTAATAGCAGCCCACCTTCGCCCTAGTCCGGATAGACCCCCAGGTCCGCTGGGAAGCAGGCCTCTCGGAACTTGCCACTTAGAGCCAGTCTTAGCATTTTAACAATGTAGGGGTCTTAGCTTAAGTTGTCGTTTTGTAGATGGGTACCCGAGGACCCCAGAACCATCCCACAGGGCCACGTGGCAAAGGGGCGGCAGGACAGAGAAGGTCTCAGGACTCCTCATGCTTCCAAGGGTATCCCCTTGACATGGGGGACTCAGAGGGGGCCAGGTCCACCTCCCTGAATTGGCCACAACAGTTCTGCACTGGAACTCACTCATATACGTCCACACGTGGGTGCGTGTGCACGTGTATGCGTGCAGTGTGCATACAACACAACACGTGAGCATTTGCATACATGCATTGTGTATGCATGTGTGCTTACATGGGTTTAAACGCACACATGTACATGTATGTGCACGGGTGTATGTATGATACATGCACATGTGTGCACACACATGGATTTTCCCCTTTTAGAACCTGTGCGTGTTTCCCATCGCTAAGGACATCTTCCGTTGTTTTTCTTTTCTTTTCTTTTTTTTGAGTTGGGGTCTCACTCTGTTGCCCAGACTGGAGTGCAGTGGCCACTCCCGGCCACCACAACCTCGACCTGCTGGGCTCCAGCGATC